ATCGATTAATCGATAAAATAATCGGCCGATTCATCGATTTTTAAAATAATCGTTAGTTGCAGCCCTACTTGTAATAAGCAGCCATCTTTCCCTGTGGGTTTATCCAGCATTAGGTGCTTTCATCACCGTTTTAGTAAATCGGCTTCTTGAAAATAATATATATCTGGTAAAAATCTCCCAGCTGATCATAATATATGTTCAGGATAGCGTTACCATTAGTTATCAGTCCAGCTTAGGAAACGTTAGATAATCTCTTTATTAGCAGAATTTACTTGAAAATAGTTTTCTAATGCTAATAGATAACTTTCCAAGAGACGCTTCAAAACCAGTAGTTATTATACTCTCTGAAACATCCCACGATTTTTGCAACGGCAGTACATTTCTAATTAGTAATGACACTTAGCTATTAACACTCCCACTAAGTCTCCAGTGTGGAGATGACACCAGCTTGTGTGTGTGCTATGCAAGGAGAGTACTGCTGTTGTTTTATTTCACACCTGACTGAGTTTGAAGAGAAAGCGGCCCAAGATGAGCTGGAACAGCTAAGAAGAAAGCTGGGAATATTTCTTCAAGAATACACTAGATGGGAAGCATTTTTTTTAAGTTGCTTGCAGTGGGGCCATGCCAGATCAAACAGAATCTTGTTTCTAAAGCTTTGTTAGGTCTGTCTTACTGCAGATACTGAACTAATAGTAGCCAAGAGGAAAATCAAGTTTTGAGTAAAATGGATTTTGACTTTAATAGGAAGCAAATAAACCAGAGGACCCCTCCCACTGCTTTTCTGTGATCCAAGATGTATCAGGTTTGTTTATTTTACAAAGAAGGGGTGCATGCAAAAGCTGCAGGAAAGTGGCATCAGAGGACCAACTTTGCCTCCTCAGGCTTTACAATCAAAAACATCAATATAATACACCAGGAAGTGGATTTAAAACCATGTTCAGAGAGTTTTTTTAGAAATGTAACTTAAAAATATTGGGTGCATGTTTTACATCCCCTTAACTCTAATGCCCTGTAAGAAAATGCAATGAAATGTCTCTATAGGTTCCCTTAATATACACTGGAGCTCTTGTACATGTAGCTTTATTTCAGCAAATCTGTTCTGTGAAGACCTTGGAGGTTTGTAAAGTGAGCACATGTGAACAAAAAGCTTCATTAGTACCACCAAACACAGCAGAGGGTCAGAAATAAAGTAGTTTGGAGCTCTAGATCATGGCCAAGTTATCAAACAGTAACAAGGGCAGTATTAATCAAAGAAGACGTTAGAGGCCCATTGTTACTCTGGAGGAGGTGCAGATGTCCACAGCCTGTGGGGGGGATCTGCTGACATGGCAGCAGTTAGCCATAAACTTTAAAAACATTGCATTTATAAGAGAGCCTGGAAAAAGTGAACTGTTAAAGCAAGGAAAGTTAACTTTTTTAGCGAGTCATGTCGGAGACGCAGGGAATATGTGGAAGTACCTTATAAAAAAAGGTGTTCTGGTCATAGGAAACTAAAGTTGTATATTTTCTTTTTGCTTATGTACAAAAGGCTGCTTTTGAGGAGATATCATACTGAAAAGAAGAGTCACCTCAATGAAACACGGTGATGGTGACACTGATAATTTTCTTTCACAGGGACAAAAAAAGCTGACAACTGTTTAAGGAACAAATGCATGAAGCAAATAAATGATTGTGTTTAAAATTTCCAGAGGCTGTAAAACTCTTCTAAGGGAAAGAGTGTCTTACTCCACCATGTCAACCCTAAAGGTCACTGCGACACAATGGAATAGAATTTATAGCAAATAACATTCTTGTCCTGGGAAGTTCTAATCTAAAGCCAAACAAACATTTTAAATCTTATTTGACTTTGCCAAAGCAATTCTCAAGTAATAAAGCATAAAATATTGTAGTTTTCACATCTTTAAAGCTGGTAAAAAGATACCTGAAAACACCTGCAGTATGATGTGGTTTACGAGGTAATTACTCAGGGGACTGACTGCAAACCTGGACCACATTTAAAGTATTTCATAGCTTAAAAATGAGAAATGTTTTATATTTTCCCCTCTGCTTTTCAACTGTATTCATTCATTCTTTCTTTCATTTTCTTTTTTCATTTCATTCATTCTTTGTCAGGCTATAATTTAGTAAACTTAGTAAAGCACATTTGAGTTTTTGGCTGCAAAGTGACCAATTATTGAAAATTTCAAATGTAAGGCAGCGTCTGATCAGCCAGCAGACCATTACCCGTTTGACTGCTGAGCTAAAGTTTGTTTCCATCTCCTTCTAATGGGTATCCTTTGCACTTATTTTCTTCTCCTCTTTTGTGCTGAGTGGTCAGTGAAAGGCCTTCGTAGAACTGCTTTCACTTTAAGTCTTCTTCACTGCCATTGAAGATCAATAGACTTTACTGACAGCCCCATGGATCATTATAGCCTCAAAACAAAATGGCAAAAGGGGTATAAAGTCCAAAAGGCCGACGTATACACTGAGTTCAAGGCCCTTACTCTTCAGTCTTAGGACTACAATACAACACACAGACACACAAGAGCTTTTTTATGATCTGGCATGTTTCTTTTGACTAGCTGGTAAAAGCTCAGGTGTTGCTATTGTTTCTTTTTTATAACAGTGGGGACCCGAAGCAGATGGCAGAAAATAAACTAGAATACTGAACTGCCAGAGAGAGTTGTATGCTCCTATCATGTCAATAAAAGGTTATAGACATGAACAGGCTGCCCTATGTCTCAATGTATGACATAAATCCATGATGTCTACGTTTAAAGTAAGTCCATTCACATAACCTCTATCTGTTCTTTAGGAATTGTGTCCCTGATCTCCTTGGCTGTCCTCTCGTATGAACGCTACAGCACCATGATAACCCCCACTAAGGCCGACTCATCCAACTACCGCAAGATCTCCCTGGGCATCCTTCTTTCTTGGGTCTACTCCCTGTTGTGGACCCTTCCGCCTCTCTTTGGCTGGAGCCACTATGGCCCAGAGGGTCCTGGGACCACCTGCTCTGTTGACTGGACAGCTAAGACAGCAAATAACATATCTTACATCATCTGCCTGTTTGTGTTCTGCCTCATCGGGCCCTTTCTGGTGATCGTCTTCTGCTATGGAAAACTGTGGTGCGCCATTAAACAGGTGAGTCCGTTAGAAGGCCAGTAGGGTTTTTTTTTTTTTTGCTGAGGATGAGTGATTAAAAGAGCTTTCTTGCAGCTCACCCTAGGTTTCTGCCTTGGCCTTCTCTGTTAATGCTAATGCTAATTATATTAGAACAGTAATGGTAAAGTTAAGTTTGTGTTTTAAATGAGCACATTGATTTTACGAAATATATTTTTTGAGATAGAATGTAAAGTGGTACAGTAGTAGCCATTCAATATTTCCCCACTTACCTTGATGGGCCTTTGGCTGGTCCCCTAAGAATCCTTTTTTAAACATCAATCTTTGTACTAAAATATTCTTTCTGTCATGATTTGTGGACATTTAGATCTAAAGAGAAGCATAATCTCATAGTCAGACCCTGTAATTCAGGGAAAGGGTGGAGTCAGAGTAAAAAAATATGCATGCCCAGGAGAAGGAGGGGGTCACTGGAGAGTTGTCTGCCATTCGGCTGGCGTTTCACCTGGAAGGGCCATTTTGAATGGCTGCTACTGTAGTATGAACATCAGTTTAACTTAGTTTAGTTTGTCCCAGTTCCAAACAAATGTCACCTAAAGTCAGTTTACAAAATGAACTAATCCCATAATATATACAAAAATATATAATGATTCAATTGGTTAAAATGATATATACTTACCTATTTGCTTTAGTGCTGAGAAGATTTAACAGTAGTGAGATAAGTTGCCAATTAAAGTAAATTGGACTAGTAATGAATTTGAACAGATCTGTCATAAGACCGCCCTGTGATGGACTGGCGACCTGTCCAGGGTGCACCCTGCCAGTAGACAGCTGGAGATAGCCACCAGCACCCCTTACAACGCCGCTTGGGATAGGCGTGACAGAAGATAGATGGAAAGATGCATGTTATAAAACTGATTGAGATAAGAAAAAAAAAACTCCTTAAAACTCCTGCCCTGTGACAGCAAATCCCATTATTCTTTGCAAGGAGAGCTCTCCCCACAAAGCATTCCAGGTTATATCTGCCTCTTCTTAGGCCATTCTTTTCTTCTCATACACTTTGTAGACACTTTTTCTTTAACAACCCTCAGCCATTTCCAAATAACAGAGGTGAAAAAGGCGGGCTTCAATGACTGTCTGAAACAGTAGCTGACCATGCATAGACACCTGAAAGTGCGTATGTGCAGAAAAAGATAGCTTACTGGGGACTAGCACGTAGGATGGCCTTACATAAACATGTCACCAGAATGACAAGTAGGAGGACCACTTATTTAGATTAACCACCAGGAAATAAAAGATTGTCCTCTTAACTGGAGTATGTTACCTAGATAATGCAAGGAGTACTTAAAAAGAAAAACCCAAAACAACTATTTAGATCAGATATTTCTTTCCATGATTGTAATTTGAACTAATCTTCAGCAATAATTAAAGTTGGGCTTAGGGATGAATATGTGGACAAGCACATTAATAAGTATGACAAGTAGGACAAGTGATGCTGTGGGCCTATTTTTGTTTAAGAGGCTTTTGTAGACAACCAGAAAATGTCACATGAAGGCAATTGCTCCATTCCTTGAAAAAAAAGAAAGAAGAAAAGGTGGTATCACTGGCTCTAAAACATGTAAACATGTTAACAAACAAAAAAATAATCCCAAAAAACAACATCAGGTCTCCAGACCTAAATCAGGTAGAAAGCCTGTGGGTTGAGCTGAAAAAGAGGAAACATAATAGAAGAACTGCATAGCTTGTTTTAAGAGAAATACGGAAGAATCCATCGTTGCTCCATCTTTGAGATGTTAAAACAGGTTAAGAGGTGTTTTACTGGCAAAGGAAGCTTTAAAAAATAGTATCAGATTTTGACTACCAATTAGGTATTTTGCCAAAAACAATAATTTTTAATGGATGGATTTTAAAAGTTGGATTTTTCAGAAAAGTTAGACCAGGAGATTATGCAGCCAGCAAAGTTACCACTAAAGCTGCCTGAAAGACTAGTACTGTATTTATCACAGGTGCCTCTTTTGGAATCCCATGTCAACTTCCAGGCCTCAGAGGGATTCACAGACACTTGATGCATATTTGCCCTGCTCTGGTGCATAAATATTGAGCAGCAGTCGCCTGCTCTGAGCAGTGAGGAGCAGCGAATCAGACCATGTTTTCAGAGATTTCCACCTTTTTTCCCCCTTGGCTACAAACTGATGTACGAGTTAACCGGTGTTTGGGTTTCTGCACTGACTGAGAAATGCATACGTAACACACATGCCCACACACACCGGTGAAGCAGTTTTATTCATTATTGCAGCTCACTCCAGCTCTGTGAGGGTCATGTTTTCCCAGACGAACAGTGTGAAGCATGCATGCTCTCACATGACCGTGCTTCTTCTCTCTTCGTTCTGATAAACAGGAGTTTGGTGTAAACATATAAGGCACAAAGATTGACGTAAATCTCATACCAACAGTTTTCTTTTTTTTTGTTCTTTTTCTTCTGTCGTTTTACAGAACTTTTGCCTTTCTAAAAAATGATTTTATTCCCCTTTTTAAATATCTACAGTTAGTCAGGTTGAGTTTTGTTGTTTCTCTCTCTCCCTTGCTGTCTCCTTAAGTCATTATTACATGAAAACTCCTCTCTTATATGGAGTTTTTTAATTGCTAGCCAAACAGTTTACAGGTTCCCTCACAATATTGGGTGAACTTTACAGCTCTGCTCTGAGGCATTGCGCTTTAGCGGCAGATGGTGCACATAAAAATATATTTATGCCGTTCCAAATGCACATAAGAGAAATGGAAAACTACACAAACAAAAAGATAGAAAGAAACACTGATAAACAACTGAGAAGTGAGAGAATCAGAGTTCTCTTCTTCTTTTTGCTGCTCTTCGCTGATTATGAGACAGAGGGGTCTTTCATGACAACAGAAAGCAATTCCAGTCATAGGAACATCTTAAATTGGCTTCAAAATATACTTTGTTTTTTTTTCACCCTTTTGGATTCTTTGCATTCGTCCGCTGTTGATAGCTTGATGGGAAACTGAAGGTAAAAATACAGGCTCAATGACAGAGAAGCATTTTATTTTACCTAGCTGTAGAATGTTGTTGTATTTCTATACAATTCAAGTGTCATTCCAATCCACACAAAACATTCATGCCCAATGTCCTTTTTCAGCATTTTTTATATTATAACTAAAAACCACAATGGACAATGTGAGTATAAACATGACGTGGAAGGAACGTTGCAAATGGTTTCCACGTTGAATTTCAAGGTGAACAACTTAAAAAAGGTGGTGTTATTAAAAAATATAAGTTGTGAAAATCTAACAGGGCTCTGTTTTAATTAATTGTTTCCCCATATTTAAAAACTGGAAATGGTATGGAACAACTTCCAGCTAGTTTCCTTCTGTTACGTAAAATCATGATCAAATATATTGATGTTTTTGTTCTATTTTGTACTTTCAAATATTAAAATGTTTGTATCAAATTCTATCCAGCCAGGATAGTTTATGCCACAAGACAGCTTGTATTTTTTGCTTACAGAATAATGATGCATTAATTTTTTCGCCAATAGGAACTCATTGAAATCTCTTGGTGAACAGAGGAATCTGGACAGCAAAATAACAAATCATTCTGGAAAAAGCAGCCGCAACCAATGATCATTACTTTCGAAAGACAAACTACAGGGAGAAAAGTATTTAGTCAGTGTTTTATCTCTGATTGGAAACTGGCTTCACTGGTGACTGGATTCTCTTTAGTCTTTATGAAATGTTTAGCATTATCAAAGCACTCGATTGGCGTGGCAGATTGTGGTTGCATATTTTGGTTTCCTCTCATTCTTAAAGGAACAGTATGACTTGGTGTGGTTGAAAATGGCAGGAATTCCATGTGCTTTTGAAACCACAAACTAATCACTATTAATAAGCTTGAGTAAAGCTGCAGCAGACTGATATTTTGTTTTGTTTGTCCCTGATCAAATTCTTCCATTACCCATCCTATTGTGAGTAAGCCTCTGGTTTTAATGGAAGACATTACAGCAGAAAATTATGATTACTCATCCCTGTTTCACACTTTTGACACTGTAACACAAAATTTCACAACATCATGAAACGGATGATGGTAAAAACTGTTGTTCTCTGATTAATGGAATGGTAATTATTTGAACACTGAGAAAGTCATAGAGCATTGATATTTTATTTCCACATTCTCACTTTATTCATTATTTAAATAAATTATGTCATTCAAGTCCACCAACGCCATCCAAATGAATTCAGTTCAGTTTATTTATAGAGCGCCAATTCACAACACATGTCAACTCAAGTCACTTAACAATTCAATACAGTAAAATTGATTCAAAGTTTTCTATCTAAGGAAAACCATGACTCATTGACTCAAAGGCAATTCCTCACATTAAGCATGCTTGTAGTGACTGTGGAGAGGAAAAACTGCCTTTTAACAGGAAGAAACCTCCAGCAGAGCAGGCTCAGTGTGAGTCGAGGCCTGCTGGGGTTTAAGGAGACAGAAGCAGACATAAAGAAAGAAGCAGAGATACAAAGGCCTACGTTAATCAGCCCCACTAGTGGCCCCATCCAGGCATGTATGTCAAAGCATACAAAGCACACAGATATTACAAAACACAGCTCTGTCCAACATTTTCAAGACAGGCAGTAATTCATTTTCAAGAGTTTTTCCCAATCTGCTGATCGCCTTGAAAATTATGGGCTAAATGATGAGAAGTCTCCAGATGTTTATGTTTTCAAACCCTTGAGGTAGCTGTCCAGGTAGTTTAATTTTCTTTCTAGGTGCACGATGTGGGAATTCACACTTTGTGGATGCTGAAATACTGTAATTTGGTGGCACGGATCTCGCTAATTTTTCCTGGAGCCTATAACATCGCTGACCTTCTGAAACCATACTGATGGGGTAAAAACAATAATATAAAACTTTTCATAAATCGCTACCTAAAGAGATGTACAACATTGGCTGTGTTATTAAAGCTGAATGGTGAACCAGTGATAATAACACACACACACTCCCACATACA